TTTGCACGACTTAAAAAAAAAGGTCGACAAAAACGGGATAGAATAATTTTTTCAATTCTTTTGACTGTCGGCAAAAATTCCAAAAAAATATTGATGGAATTGCAATCAGCTGTTGGGGGATCTCGAAAAAAAGCGGGGGAGGGGGGCTTTCATAAAAGATAACACTAAAAGGTACGCTATATTTATTTTGAAAACCCTTCAAAAGCCATCTATAATCATTGGGAGCCAATTTGACTTTCATTGGATCCACGCTCGAGTTGATCCACGCTTGATTCAAGTCATAAACTTCCGATAAATTGTTTTAAAAAAGCGCACATTTTTGCATACCGTTAAATAATTCAATAAGTAGCTCAGCACGTGAAAGTAACAACAAGCAAGTAAATTTACATGTACAATCAATTCGTGTCCGTAGCGGACAAAATGCAAAGCAGAGTGGGCACGTCTTGCATGCATTGTGCAGGTCTGCGAATCATTAGTCATGTCTGACTACGAGTTTTACAGACCTGCACATTGCATGTAAGATGTGCACAGCTCTGCATCAGATCTGATCACTCCTGTTTTATAGATCTGCTAAAATAGCTGAAACACTCCTGATTTATTTCATAGGTACGGGTTGCTACGAACAACAGACATTGACTGAAGTTATGTAATGATACGACCGGGAAACGAACCAACAACCTACGAACACAGAACCGTTGACAGACACACAAAACCACAAACGACAAAAAATTGCTGTTTTAGGCGGATATTACGAGTTAAAGTGGGCGACAAGTTTCACTTTTTTGTTTGAGCGTAAATCGATGTATATTCTTGTGTGTGGGTTTCTCTCTCCCCGGGATGACCAAAAATACTAGTCATACAATTTCCATATATGGAAAAATGCTAGTCATACACTTTCCATGCAATTCCATACGTACAGAAAATTGCATGAAAGGTCTATGATTAGTATTTTTTTCATATATGGAAATTGTATGACTAGCATTTTTTCATGTATGGAAAGTGTATGACTACCATTTTTTCATATATGGAAATAGAAAATTTAGAAACTTTTCATATATGAAAATTTTATGACAAGCTTTTTTTAACAATTAGAAATCCAGCAAAATGAGGCAAAAAAAACTACTTTAATTCCCATCCCATACGACGAGCACTCTCTGAACAGAGAAGAAAAAACCAGAGAAAATTGATTTCTCATAGTCAATTCTCCTCACACACTGAGAAAGCAGAGCATTTCTTAATCTTATCTTAGGGGGACTCCAAACCAGGAGGGACTGCCTCAGAAAAATTAAGAAAAAAACCTGTTAGCTAGCTGAGTAATCCAAAACAGGAAACAGTCCACCAGAAGATCAATATTCTGGACTTCTTCTCTTCCAATCACATCTGACATCAACATCTAAACGAGTTCCCTATAAAACACACATTTAATTGACACTCCGATTGAAAAATTGAAACAAACATTTAAACATCAACAATCATTCAAACATCATAAAAATCCTAAGTTTTTCCCACGTGAGAAATTTCAACTTTTGAGATCACTTTTGAAATCATGTATGAGAAGATGCAGTCAGAAGTCGACCAAACTATGGCAGACAGAAACACCAAATTGTACCGATTTACAAGGTAAAAACTGTGCAAAAACGTGTTTCTAGGTGCCATCGATTGGCTGACTTTCGACTAGGTCTTCTCAGATACGAATCCTCTGATGACCTTCAAAACTACTTTTGACCAATGCAAAGCGAGTTAGTAGAAAATACAAAGGCGAAGCAGAGCTCTGCACCACTCGAGATACAAGAAAAATTGAAATCGGAAATAAAAAGTTGCGGAAAAATAGGCGAGGATTTGCGGGGGTTAGGGGAGTGCAGACTTTCTCTCCTAACCCCTCAGGATTTCGACGCCATGCAGACCCAAAGGGTTCACCCCTTTCTATTATTTTGAGATTTCTCTTTTTGGCTCCGCTTACGCTTTAAATCTCCTTTACTACGGGGATAGAAAAGAGTGGCTTGTCCGCTGAGCAGGGGATAGAAAAAAGTGGCTTGTCCGCTGAAAACTCATCCTGTGGCTGAAATATACTCACAAAGGTTCACGTAATATAACAAGATTGACGTACCAGGACGACGCCCTGATATTCCGACTGCCTTTTAAATTATATGGAGCAGTTATAAAATGGAACAAGACTGTTTATGGAGCAGTCATAACTTTAAAAAATTAAATGTAATAAAACAAAAAATTAATTTTCTAAAACTTGCAATTTTTTTTTAAATAAAAGTCATCCCCCACACGCCATATAAAGTACAAAGGATAGATTTTGCTCCTTGTAACAACTCAGTTCTGGCAAAAAAGCTTCGTTCAACCAATTTGGAACGTTTTATAAGATGGATTAAATCTCCGCTTACGCGTTAATAGCGCGAATTATATTGCGCGTTAATTGTCCCAAATTGGTCAAAATGACCAAAATGGCAATTTTTAAACCCTCATAAATTTACGAAAAATGATCACAGGTGAAATATCTTTTCAAATTTAAGCTCAAGACAACAATACCTTTTGAATGATATAAAAAAACTCCGTCAAAAATGGCTAGTTAAAAAGCCGAAATTTGTCTGAAGAAAAAAAAACCCACCCCGAGCACAATTATTCCGTTACTTTCGTATCGAAAGTCGGAACAATTATATCGATCAATGTGATTTATGGATGGCCCAGAATTTAAAGTTGGTAACCTAGTCCTACTTGCCGAAGACAATGAACGACCGCTAGAATGGAAAACTGGACGAATCATAGAAGTTTATCCTGGAAATGACTCAATTGTTCGAGTGGTAAAAGTGAAAACCACAACTGGTGAATACATACGCCCAGTCGCGAAGCTGCGGAAGCTACCAGTATAGCAACCAAGTCATATCCAATGTGCAGTTCATTTAAAACAAGAACTTTATAGTGCTAAAAATCGAAAAATATCAAAAATGTGCTGTTTTCAAATTTTAAGTGGTAGTACCCCCATGACCCTTTTGAAAGTAGGAACCTAAATTACCCCCTATGCAATGCATTATGGTCTGAATCGTTCATATTGACCACTTTCATGTAAATTCCCAATGTTGTAAATTACCAGCATTAAAATTCGTATGAGGTTGTACCCTCATGACCCAAAATGTAATTATTGCCTGAAAACAGCTAGGACAAACTTTCGCTCATGACTCGTACCGTTAATACTTCACTTGTATACTCCTTACTTATGGGTAGTCATATCCAGACATAATAACGATCTGAAAATTGAAGACACTTCAAGGGAGGCGGAATGTTGAAGCCTAAAAAAGACATCTCAGCTTTCTACTTGAACTAAATCTACGATTGAACTGATTTACTTATTTAAAACCGCATTTGACAAAAATCAATTGACTTCTATCTATAACTCATGAAATAATTTACACTCTTTGCGAATCACTAGTTTTATTCAGTCGGATTGGTGATTTTTAGTTTCCCAACTTTTGCTGCACAACAGTAACGTTGAAATTCTGAACACTATAAATTCAAATTCAAATTTAAGTTTTGATTAAGTACGTCTGTTTTTTTCTCAAATCGCTGGTGTTTTAGCTTTTAAATTACAGATTGCATTACGGTCTAGTAAGGAACATTAAATTCTATGATTGTTTATCGATTGAAAATCTAACTCCTGAAATATTAACAAATTTCAGGTTTTGAAGGTACCTTATAACTCATACCAGAGGTCACCTGGCTGCACCGATAGAACTTCAAGTCATACCAACCCTTCATTTTTTATGGAATGATAGGTCTGATTTTTGATGAACATTGAATAGTATGGCTGACTTGAAGTTCCATGTATGCAGCCAGGTGACCTCCAACATGAATACCATGGTCACCTCAAAAGTTACAAATTCGCTCAGGAACTCGAGTTTCACAAATTGTATATATATATGGTACTGTCAGCAAGAAATTTCTTAGTTTTACAAATAAGTTCACAATTTAAAAAAAAAATGTTTTAAATTTCAATTTTAATTTTTTCAAATATTGATAAAATTCATTATCATCTTTCGTATTCCTCCCCCCCCTTATGTTGCCCAATGCCCAATTACCCACCCCCCCCCCCATAATTCTGCCCAAGTAACCCCCCCCCCCCTTACTGAAAGTGGGAGTTTGCCTAGTTTCCTGGTTTCCTTTGACTTTTTAATTATTGGCTTCAATTTCTAAAACCAATACAATTTTTTCGGAATTGGTTGAACATTGTTTGAAGAAGAAGAGAAGAGAAACATACATACAAACATACATACAGACATACATACAAACATACATACAAACATACATATAAACAAACATGCAAACTTACATACATACAAACTATTTTAAACAGTATCATTATTTTAAACTGAATAGTCGAAACGTATCATAATAAAGCAATGTAAAAAAAACCTTAGCGGCGCGATTGATTCTGAGAAAATCTAGGAAGTAGTCAATCTGCAGGGAAAAGTCAACCCACAGGTCGTGACCCCCTGAACTATGACTCAGAAGCATCACAGGGTGGGATATTATTATCTATAAAAGGCATCATCGGAGCAAATTACTCCGCAAAACTCACCCTTGAAGGTTGCTTTCCTGTTGGCAGTTGATTATCAGACTTTTTCGGTATTTTGAAATTGACTACGGGCTCATTAATAGTAATGGACTCAGAATGCAATTGGGAAACTTTGGGTGGCAAAAACTTTAACATATTTTCAGTATCATTAATTTGAGACATCGATACAAGGCTATACTTTGGTAAGAAAAGAATGTATAATGTAATTCTGAATCGAAATAGAGAAACTAATTGGATAGGCGAGAGTTGTTAGGAAACAGATTGAATATAACAGATCAATCTATCAAACCAGACCTGAAAACAAACTAAGTGTTATTTAAATCTGGCTCAGCAGGCACCCATACAAACATTTAGCCTATTTGTTGTGATAAATTTATTAAATACAATCTTTGCTCGTTCGTAACATCTTAACATTCTCATTATGTCTCGCGAAGAACTTGTCCAGAAAGCGAAGATCGCCGAGCAGGCCGAGAGGTACGATGACATGGCAGAATCTATGAAGAAGGTGACTGAGCTGCTAGGTGAGAGTGAGCTTCTTTCTACTGACGAGAGGAATCTTTTGCCAGTTTCTTACAAGAATGTTGTGGGTTCTGGAAGGGCGTCATGGGGGGTTATCTGCAGCATTGAACAAAACCACACCGCTGATCAGAAAAAAACGGACTTAGCCAAGGAATACCGAGAAAAAATTGAGGGTCAGTTGAAGGATATCTGCAACGAAGTTCTTGGCTTGCTTGATAAGTTCCTCGTTCCCAACTCTGAGACCGAGCAGAAAAAAATGAGGCCCTGATACGAGCAGGAGGAAAACCAGTAAAATACAAATGGCGCTATCTAGTGCTTGTCAGAGAACTCATTACGACAACTTGGAAGCACTTGATAGCGAAATTAAATGAAACATCGAACACAAGAGAGGACAAGACTGCTCGTATCAGGGCGAAGCACTGAAGGTTACCAGTGCCTTTTAAGATCTATGGAGCGCTAACAACATGAACAATTTAAATGTAACGAAATAAAAATTTTTACATCCCCCCACACGTAATATAAAGTGAAAAAAATAGGTTTTGCTCCTACTAACAAATCAATTAGGGCATATAAGCTTCCTTGAACCAATTTGGAATAATTTCTCAGAAGGATTAAGTCTAGCTTACACGTTAATAGTGCAAAAAATATCGCGCATTAATTGTCCCAAATTGGTCAAAATAGCAATCTTTAAACCCCCATTACTTTACAAAAAATGATCACAGGTGAATTCTCTTTTCAAATTTAAGCCCTGGGCGCTTCCTTCTCCTCTAGTCGGATTGAGAAAAACTCAGTTGAAGCAAGTGTACGTTTATTAGAGCGGTCAAAAATAGCTAGTTAAAAAGTCGAAATTTGTCTGAAGAAAAAAAACCCACCCCGAGGACAAATATTCCGTTACTTTCGTTACGAAAGTCGGAACAAAAAACACCTGAACATGGGAAACTGAAAATAAGGAGGATTGTGCGAGGCTAAATTTTCAATCAAGGAGCGGGGCTAAGTTTGGGCTGGAGGAAAAATCGAAGGATTGGATATGACGGTACTCAAAAAATATGACAGTCTAGAAAATCCACCCCTACCCCTCAAGAAAACCACTTCTAACGACTCTTATGATTAAACATAGGCAACAAAAAGTTGGAAAAGAAACAATGACGTACTGAAGCATGTTAAAAACCTTAGCGGCTCGATTTTTTCCGCAATCTAGGAAGTAGGCAACCTGAAGGGAAAAGTCAACCCACAGGTCGTGGCCCCCTGAACTATGACTACGAAGCAATCACAGGGTGTGATATTATTATCTATATAAGGCATCATCGGAGCAAAATCAGTAAAAACTGCGAGTTAGAATTACTGTCAACCAATCAGTAAATAATTAGTTGGAAATTAGCAAAAGTGGTTACGTCGCTATAAAAGATGAATGAAAAAAAAAGAAAAGTCGGGAAAAAATTCTGAAAAATTATGTTGGGAAAATCACAGGGTGTGATATTATTATCTAAACAGGCATCATTGGAGCAAATTCATTGCGGAATAGAATTAGGCTCAACCAGCTAGAAAATTGATAGACGGCAATTCGTAAAAGTAGTTGCACCTTTTTAAAAAAAATTTAAAAAAGTTTAGATGTCGGAAAAAAATTCTTGAAAATCTATCTTAGAAATGATTTCCAAAAATGCTGCTAAAACTGTCAAATTGCTACCAAAATACGGTTGCAAAAAAACGACAATCTACTTAACCTTTTCAGTGAGAAAATTGCAGCTTGAACTTAAAAACGGAAAGAAAAACTTTGAATTTAACACATGGTGAAATTCAAATTATTGTGAGCCATTTTTTCCTTAGAACTAAGACTGCTTAGAACATGAACGACAACTGCGCTTCATTCGCTGTGATGTTCACCTTAACGAGGTGCTCTAGATGGATTATACATCCGCCTGAAATCTTGGAGTATGATATGAGCGACAAGAAAGCTCCTGCATATCATTCGTCAAAGCAAAAAAAATTAATCTTGCCATCCATTCTGAAAATTGAAAGCACGCTTGCCATCCCTCAAAACTTCCCTTGCACGTGATCTGAGATACAAAGGGGTGTTTAAGCTTACATGTAGTGGGTGTAACAATCATAAGCTACTAACACTAGAGGCTTTGTATATTTTGAGGGAGAGGCCGAAGATCAACACACGCGATGAAATAAGGAGCTAATTATTTTAGATGATTAACAATAAAATTATATTTTTATGTATAACATGGCTAAAAACTCAAAAACTGACATTTCAGAATCAAAAATAATCCCAAGTCGAAACTTTATAGTCATGAACGAACAAAAAAAAAACTAAAAATTCACAGAAATTTACAGGAAAATGTTATTAAGGATTACGTTATTTTTTACGTAATTACATTTGTTTAAATTTGTTGGTCAGAAAGTTTCAGAGCATTTTTAGACATGTTTCCCATATCTTTTATCGTTTTGTAAATATTGTAAAAAAATTTAATCCTGATGATGCACAAAATGTGCGAAAATGTTTGTATTAACATTTTAAATTTCTTATAAAACTATTCCTGTTAGCTCCAACAAAACTGCTGCTATTGTCCTGCCAAATTTTTTAACGAAGTTTCTCGCACAGAGGAACACGAGGAGTGATTTGGGTTTTTTAGTTTTCGAATTTTATCTGATTTTGGCTTCAATTTTTTTTACAATTAAGGATCTTGCAATCAGTGCTGCTGAAAGTTTCTGAAACGTTGAAATTAGGATAATTTTGAATTTTAAATTAGCATCAGTTTTTTCCGCTACACGTAACCAACTTTGACTTTCCTTCTTTCACCCCAAGTATCTTCATCATTACTCCAGTCAGTAGCGTTCCGAGGGGGAGGGGAGCGACCGCTCCCCCCTCATTTTTGGTTGCCAAATTTTTCCAGAGGCTCCCCCTTTGGTATAATTTAACGATATCATTTTTTGGGTGGCCAACCTACCTCAAAATTTTTCAAAAGACGCCTTTGGCGCCAATATAACTAAATTGGGGGTATGAGTGCGTGCCGAAAAAAAAACAAATTTTTTGTCAAAACTTTTCAAAAAGTGCTCAAAAACGCCGTCTTTTGACCTATTTTTAAAAAGTTTTGCCTGCTAAGCAGAAAAATTTTGACAAATCAGGGTCTTTTTAGTTTTTTCGGAGAGCTCCGAAAATCAAAATGGTCAACCTTAAAAAAAGGTCCGCAAAATTTTCAAAACTTTTCGAAAAACCGCCCTCCCTCTAGAAAAATTTCTGCGCACGCCATCATCACTTGTCTGAAAATCAGTGGCGGTGCACTAGACGACATATTGTGATTTGTTAAATCAAATGCCGATCGAGATGTAAATGTTGTGCAATAGTAGTTCCTACAGCAGTTCTTACTTTTCTCAAGGCAGAAAACACTTAGTAAGAAAACAAATAAATAAAATATGTCCGAGTTTTTGTTTACGACTTAAGTTACAGGGTTATAATTGGCTATTTGCTAGAATGTTACAAATATAAAGTTATGAGAAGTTGTTAGAGGTATGGATTTCCGATCTCAGTTAAAACGGTTGGAAGTTAAAGCCCAATCATGATCCGAGCTCACTGATGAGGGCAAGGCAACAACCTTTTGCTAAAAAGCTAAAAAAAAAACTAGCCTGTTAGTTGTGAGTCGGGAAACACATTGGTTTTTCCAAGTTTTTAGGTGATTACTGTAAATTTTTGTGGTTTTTTTCTGTATAGTTTCGGGGAAATAAATTAAGTAAGCTTGGAAAAAAACATAACTCACTTTATCAGTTTATAAGCATGAATTTTCAGCCGGACATTCTAGACGCTGCGCTCATCAGTTTAATTTAATGGATAAAACTGATTATAATGGTGAGATGTGTAAAATGTCATCTAAATTCAATTTTAGAAAAAAAAATTACCTCTGTATTGTCTGCAAATATCTTCCTTTTACATTAGAACCAGCTAATGGGTGTGCTGAGATCCAATTTGGTCCATAGTCCTCTCATTTGAAACATTTTTATGGGCGATCTAATCTCGTACTGCACTCTGCTGTGCGCCTTTTTAACTTTTGCTCCGAATCGACGTTTTTGCTCCGAATCGATGTTTTTGCTATGCAATGGCAAGGAAACTAATGGTAATTGATTTCAGGGTTTGCTAAATAAACTTTCCAAACTATATGTCTGTAAGTGGACCAGAATAGAAATTAATATGCTTCATACAGCTTTGTTTCTGATAATTTCAATTAATTATCCGCAGCAATTCACTTCACACTTTAGCTCGTAAAACTCTACTTTTTCTTTAAAGAATTCAAAATCATTAATTACACACTCCACTCCAATGCCTATATGCTTTTGGTTTCAGTAAGAGATATACTCCCATGTTAACCCCAGTTACCAGTATTGTTTGTTTTCTAATCTCAAGTACTTGGCTTGAACGATCCCATATTTTTTTTCATCTATCCCAGCAGGGCCAAAAATCTCATTCTGGGCCAAATTGTTTTTCAACATAGTCCAATAATTATAAAGTCTTACCAATTCACCTCCCTAACTCTAAGGGGTACGCCGTTTTCTAAGGTCCGAATGGGCCCATAAACTACATGCCTGAAGCTAATCGAATACCCTGTCTTCTCTTCATTTTATTTTGGTTCTTTATTTTCCCTTCCCTTCATATGTATAAGCTAAACATTCTGCCTATTTTTCAAAGGTCCTGTTAATAATTCTATTAATAGCCAATTCGCCAAGCCAAAGTTGAATCGAATGTTCGCAAAGTCCACTTTATTTAAATTCACCTTCCAACATTACAGACCTTATTCAGGAAATCACTCTAGGTATAATTGTTATTACCTTCTAAACAAGATTTCTTTCTTTTAATAGCTTAAATTGGCCTAATTACCGTTCTAAAAACAGTTATAAGGTTTAAGATGTCTTCAGATTTAAATTTTAAAAGACTTAGGTTTCAAGCACCCAGTTGTAATTTTAAGATCAACTTGGTGACTTGGTGTCACCAGGGGTCAATTATCATTTAGCACATTCAAGGACCCATAGAAAACCTACATTCCAAGCTTTATCCACATTCGACTGTTACTTCCCAAGTCAACCTCTTTTACTGATCCTTCGTCGCTTTTCCTGGGGCTGGTAATTAACACTGGAGAGAGGCGCCGAAGGAGTTTCAGTCTTTTTCTGTGGCTGGATTATGGTTTTTCTTAATTTTTTGTGTAAATTGCTTTTTTCTGACCCAGAGGGTTGTTTTCTCAAGTGCTGATGACTTCTGATCCAGCCACTAGATTTGAT